GCGCTCAGGCGGCAGCCCTAAAGCCAGCGTCAGAGTCTCCTCCTGCTGGCACTGTCTCACACAGCCCGGGATCATGTAAGAGCCCTCACCTGCCCCCTGCCAATGTGCCACTGCTGAAGATGCCACCTCCGCTTTCGGGTTGCACTCATCCCTGCAACGGGCACTGCAGTACTTCACTCATCCCTCCTCCTGCCTCCCACCAGCTGCCCAGCACAAACAGGTGAGTGGACCAGCCCTGCATGCTTCCAGCCTCCTTGCTGGGCAGTGCACCCTTTCTCCCACCCCTGACCCAAGATGTGCTTTCCCCTGCCAAGGGATCGACTGCCATGGAGCGGGCGGTGGTGCAGAGAGCCTCTGCGTTTGCAGGCCGAATCCACTGCTGTAGTCCCCTGGTGTCTGAGGCTTAAGCTCTTTTTCTCCCCACGTGTCTTCTCCCTGCGGTTGTCCTTTAGTACTGTGGTGCAGAAGAGACTGTGCTTGCTCCTCCTCCAGCTAAAAGACCCAAAGGAACCGCCTGGTCAACCTGCTGTTGGCCAACAGGACCTTTGTCAGTGAGACCCGTCGGGCAGCTGTGGCACTGAGCCAAGGTCCTCAAGAAGATGAAGCCTGTGGACTTGTGGTTCTGCTCGCCTGCTCCCCTGGCCCTCTTTGGGCTGCCTGTGCCTTGGAAGAGAGCACGCTGAGTCAAGGGCGCTGGTCCCTCTCCGCTGAGTAGCGCTCCCTGCGGAGGGCCAGCCAGGTCCCCAGCTGGAGCTAGAGGAATGGCGTTGTGGGCCGTGCCCTGGCCGCCCTGTCTCTGAGCTGGGTGGTCTGTGCCTGTGGGAGTCGGGCCTGCCAGCCTGTGGGGATGTCTGGCAGCTGCATGCAGTTCCAGCGTTTCTCACCTGTGCTACCTGCCGCCCCCAGTGAGTACCCTCCCTGCCCTGGAATCAGCTTGTGGCCTTGCAGGGGGACGCTGCTTTCTGGAGCTCTGGTGTCAGCCCCCTGCGTGCCAGAGGTCTTGGGGGGCGACAAGCTACTGACATCTTCTGCCATGGGCTCCTCTGGCATCTCCCCGGGAGGAGGATGCAGGGGATGGGGTTGTCTGCCCTGCAAATCCCTCTGCTCTGGCACAGGCCCTGGGAGGGGTGTTCCTGCGTACACAGTGTGGGGCGATTGTGGGACCACCAGCTCCTGCTCACCTCTTGCCTTTTTTTTCCTTCTCCTCAGAGACCCCTCTTGCAAAGGGCACAAATTCCCAAACGGTACCAGCTCCCCCCCGCCGCAGCCGTGTGAGGCAGATGAGGGGCTCGGGGAGGACGAGGACAGCAGCTCAGAGCGCAGTTCCTGCACCTCCTCCTCCACCAACCAGAAAGACGGGAAGTTCTGTGACTGCTGCTACTGTGAGTTCTTCGGCCACAACGCGGTGAGTGAGGGTCTGGCCTGCAGCCACCCCTGGTCTTTGTGCTCTGCTCTGTGGTGAGAAGCCTTAGCCTCTGTATACAGAAGGTGTGAAGGTGAGAGTGACCCTGCTTGCAGGTCTAGCCGTGACCCTTCTCTGGCAGCATGTGCACCCACCCATTCATTTCCGCCCTGCCTCATCAGCCCAGTCGTCCCCTTGCTCCTGACCTGCAAGAGCTGCCTGCCTGTCTGGCCTTGGGGCTTTCTTTGGCACAGTCAGCCAAACCCCGTGGCTTCACTGGGGAAAAGGAGTTCAGTGCGGCCACGCTTACTTTGTCTTGTTGAGACCTTGGGGAAGGGAGCAGTTGGGTAGCTTGGTGGGGGAGAAGCACGGGAGCTGGGGCTGCCTGTGCATCGCCCTGGCTTCGCGTGCCTGCCAAGCCTGACAGCTCTGACATCCTGCAGCCCCCAGCCGCTCCCACGAGCCGCAACTATGCCGAGATCCGGGAGAAGCTACGCTCGCGCCTCACCAAGAGGAAAGAGGAGTTGCCACAGAAACTAGGGCACAGCAGCAGCTCAGGAGAGCCTGCTGTGGACCATCGCAACGTGGATGAGCTGCTAGACTACATCAACAGCACAGAGCCCAAGCCCCTGAACAGTGCCAAGGCGGCCAAGCGGGCACGGCACAAGCAGAAGAAGAAGGTGAGACCGGGCAGAGGGAAGCACTGCTCTGTGCCCTGCCTGGCTGTACAGGGAGACAGACTGCAAAAGAGAGGCCTGTCTATTCCTTTTGGGAGGTCAGGGCAAGACTGGGGGCCCCTTGCAGGGCTTCGCTTTCCCTCGCTTCCATCCATTTGATTTCTGAAGCTTGATTTCCTTTGCTGCCCCTATCCCCTGAGGTGACAGCTGGCTCCCTTGGGGGCTGCCTATGTCTCGGTTCACACAGAGGGCCGTGCACCCTGCCCGGGCTCTACCTGCTCCGTGCTGTGGCCCTGACGAAGACCCTGCGTGTGCGGTGGAGAGGGGTGGAGCTGTGACAGCCTGTGCTGTTCACTGGTGCCTCCAGACTGGTATCTGGTGTGTAGGGTGGTGGCTGTCGTGCTCGTGGAGGATGCGTGAGAGTTCTGGGAGCCGTGGAGGACGCGACTTAGCTGGGCTGAGCATAGGCACTTGGGTGCCTGGCAAGACCAGTGTATGGCTAGCGCTGTGGCCTGCGTGTGTCGCTCAGGGGCCCAAGCCGTCTAATGCTCATGGCGCCTGTGTTGCAGGAGAAGGAGAAAGCCCAGCTGGAGGCAGAGGCCCAGAAGCGGGCTGAGCGCACCCCTGCAGCCAGCCAGGCCAGGGAGCCAGGCGAGGAGAAGCTGCTGGAGTGGCAGGGGCTGGAGCTGGAGCGGGTGAACAGCTTCCTGAGCAGCCGGCTGCAGGAGATCAAGAACACCATCAAGGACTCCATCCGGGCTAGCTTCAGCGTCTATGACCTCAACCTGGATGTCAACGACTTTCCCAAGAAGGCAGCTGTCCTGGAGCAGAAGAACCTGCTCTCCCACCTCAATGGCTCCTCTGACCTGCAGGACATAGACCTGGCCCTTGCCCCGCTCAGCCTGGGCCCTGCCAAGAGCCACGCGCTGCTGCGGGGCGAGCTGGGCCCCCGATGG